GTAATTCCAGCACTTTGGGAGGCCGAGGTGAGTGGATTGCCTGAGCCCGCAGGTTTGAGACCCGCCTGGGCAACTTGGCGAGATCTCATCTCTACAACAAATCGAAAATTAGCCAGGTGTGGTAGCGCGTGCCTGTAGTTCCAGCTACTTGGAAGGCTGAGGCGGAAGGATCGCCGGAGCCCAGCAGGTCGAGGCTGCGGTGGCCAGGAGCGGCCATTGCACTCCAGTTTAGGTGACAGAGTGAGACTCCAACTCAAAAAAAAAAAAGAATTGTTACTTTTTTTCCTAAACCGCAATGACCTAACTCATATCCTTTGCACCTTACTTTAGAGGCCCTGACCTAGGGTAGTAGTTTTCAGATTCCATAGTGCTGTATAAACTGTATATTTGAGAGTCCCACCCCAAGATTTGCATGTCACCAAGCCTGGAAAACTGTGTTTGGAACCAGTCACTCCAATGACCCTAACGCCAGGAGTTCACTTGGGCACGCGATAAGAAACCTTGTTCCAGCTCGGTGCGGTGGCTCATGCCTGTAATCTTAGCACTTTGGGAGGCAGAGGCGAGAGGGTTTGCCTGAGCCCAGGAGTTCAAGACCAGACTGGGCAACTTGGCGAGACCTCATCTCTACAATAAATCAAAAAAATTAGTTGAGTGTAGTGGCACACACCTGTAGTTCTAGCTACTTAGAAGCTGAGGCAGAAGGATCTCCTGAGCCCAGCAGGTCGAGGCTGCAGTGGCCGTGATTGTGCCACTGCACTCTAACCTGGGCGACAGAGTAAGACTCCGACTCAAAAAAAAAAAAGAAAGAAAAGAAACCTTGCTCCAGCGTTTCAGATGACGACAAAAGAATCCCTAGATTGGCTAAGTGCAGTGACTTATGTCTGTAATCCCAGCACTTTCGGAGGCCAAGGCAAGAGGATTGCTTGAGCCTAGGAGTTCAAGACCAGCCTGGGCAACATAGAGAGACCTAGTCTGTACAAAAAATTGGCCAAGTATAGTGGTGCACACTTGTAGTCCCGGCTACTCAGGAGGCTGTGGAAGAAAGATCACCTGAACCCAGGAGGTCGAGGCTGCAGTGTGGCACTGTACTCCAGCCTAGGCAACAGGGTGAGGCCCTAACTCAAAAAAAAAAAAAAATTGAAAAAAAGAGCCTCTAGATCCACAACTTACTAGGCAGTAATTACATACGACTGTTGGTTCTTTTGTGGAGAAGTCACAACCCTTAGCCTCACCTCGTCTGACTCCTCTCTGTTAGACACTAGCATCACCTCGTCTGATTCTTCTCCTTTAAACGTTAGGTTTGAGAATAGAGTAAACTCCAGATTGGCATGCTTTAGAAACTTTTAAAAAGCTGGACCATGACTGACTTGCTTTTAGGCTAGATGTGACAAACAGCCACAAGTCCATCCCATTCTCTTCATCCCCACCATCTCCACTGGCACTAGTCCACTTAACCTCTGGAAAGAAAACAGCTCAGGATGTGGGGAAGAGAATGGTATTGGGCTGGTTAGATGTACTGGCTGGGCAAGGCCTTCTGGGGTGACATCTGAACAGGACCTGCCAGAAGTTGACCATGGACCAAGGCCCTGGGGCAGAAGTGAGTTGGACACAGAAAGGAGAGCCCAGAGAGCTGTGGGACATGAGCTGTGCTGTGACCGGACTTCAGACTGGGCAAGGCTTTGGGCTCTGGCTGTGTTGTGTTGTTTTTTTTTTTAAGTGTGATAAGAAGGCCGGTGCGGTGGCTCAAGCCTGTAATCCTGGCACTTTGGGAAGCTGAGGTGAGAGGATTGCCTGAAGACCAGCCTGGGCAACTTGGCAAGACCTCGTCTCTGTAATTAAAAAAAAAATTAACTGGGCGTGGTAGTGCATGCCTGTAGTTCCGGCTACTTGGAAAGCTGAGATGGAAGGATTGCCTGAGCCCAACAAGTCGATGCTGGGGTGGCCATGAGCATGCCACTGCACTCCAGCCTCAGCAACGGAGTGAGACTCCAACTAAAAAAAAAAAGTGTGAAAAGGAGGAGGTTCTCTGAGTTTCCCAGGGCTGTGCTAAGTGCCACCAACTAGATGGGGCTTTAAACACCAAAAATTCATTTTCACAGACCTGAAGGCTTGAAGACCGAAATCAAGGTGTGAGCAGGGTTGGATCCTTTTAGAGTCGCTGAGAGGGAATCTCTCCCATGCTTCTCTCTGAGCTTCTGGTGACTGCCAGAAGTCCTTGGTGTTCCTTGCTCGTGGGTGTCAGTCCAACCCCTGCCTCGCCGTCACACGGCATTCTCCCTATATTTCTCCGTGTCCCTAAAGATGTCCACATGGCCTTTTGTAAGGACACCGTCATATGGGATTGAGGGCCCACCCTAATCCAATATAACCTCATCTTAAATAATTCCATCCATAGGGACTCTGTTTCCAAATAAGGTCACATTCTGAGGTTTCCAGTAAAAATGAATTTGGGGGGAACACGTTAACCCAGTACAGAAGCCATTGGAGGTTTCTTTGTTTGTTTGTTTTGGGTTGTTTTTTTTGTTGTTGAGTTGGAGTCTCACTTTGTCACCCAGACTGGAGTGCAGTGGCATGTTCCTGGCCACCGCAGCCTTGACCTGCTGGGCTCCGGCTATCCTTCCGCCTCAGCCTTCCAAGTAGCTGGAACTACAGGCACGTGCTCCCACGCCCGGCTAATTTTTTGATTTATTGTAGAGATGAGGTCTCGCCAAGTTGCCCAGGCATGTCTCGAACCCGTGGGATCAGGCAATCACTCACCTCATCCTCCCAAAGCGCGGGATTACAGGCTGAGCCACCGAGCCCTGCTCCACTGGAGGTTTTAAGGGGAGGAGGGAAGTGGCCTGGTGTTCATTTCCAGAAGACTGCTAAGGGATGGCGAGTGGGTCAGCGTTGCCCATTGTTCAGTGAGACAAGAGTGAGGTTGACTAGGAGGCAGGGGAAGCTGATCAAATGGAGTCACATTCACAGGGAAAGACTGGCGGCCGTATTGCTGGGTTAGTAGTGGGTGCAGAAGAAGAGGAGATGGGTGTCACCAAGGATGATTCTTGAAACTCGACGCTTATCTCTCTGCCACAATCCTCCTCAGCTCCCCTTGGCCTGGATCAGTCAGGCCTCGGAGCCTGCCCCTTCCTCCGTGTCAGCCTTGCCTCTCTCCTCACTGCTCTTCCTTGACTCTAGCCACAAGGCCTGGCTCTCCTCTTCTGCCTGGTCTTGTCCTAGATTCCTTGTCCCCAGGCTGTGACATCTCTGTGTGGCCAACTCCCGCTCCCACTCTCTGCCCCTTTGTCCAGGAAGCCTTGGGCACCACCGCCAAGTCTGCCAAGGCTGCCTGGTCCTGTGAGTAAGTTGGCCGGCATCTATCTGCCCTGCTTCATGGCAGTTCCTGAGACTAAAGGACCCCAGCAGCATTGCTCACTGCTGAGCCCAAGGCCCACACAGCACAAGTTCACTCACAGAACTTCAGCCAGTGCTTAGGGGGTGTGGTGGGAGGAGTCTGGCTGGAGGGTTGTCCAGAGGACGATCGGGTTTTGAGAAAAAGTTGGACTATGTCAGTAGGCAGACCAAGGACTCACAGACTGGGGCCAAGCGGTCGCAGCCCAGAGCTGCCTCTTGGAGGTGCTGGCCATGGGGATGGATGGGGCTGGGACATGGAGGGGGGTGGAGGCGCGACCTGTGCTCACAGCATAGGCTAGGGGTGTGCACCCAGGGGAATGCCACGGAGAATCCACGCAGAGCCCATCCTGCAAAGGCGTGAATCTGGAGCAAGCCTTCTGGGATAGCCTTCACAACTAGACTCGGAAAAGAAAGGAGGATGCCCACGGCCAGCAGAGAGGACTGATCATGGCTACTCTTGGGCTGGGAGAAATGGTGATCACATCAACGGGCAGGAGTTCTGGAATCTGAGGTTACTCCCAAGCACTTATGGACATGAAGACTGAACTCAGCCTTGAAGATGGAGCCCAACTGGAGACGAGACTCTCACCTTGTCTGGAAAGATCCTGGTGGGACCCGGGATTCAAGCTAAGCAGCTTTGGCCAGCTGTCCCTCATACTGGAAACTTCATTCTAAGCTAAAAATGACTCCAGACCACGGAAATGTTTCAAGGGAGGAGACCTGGTCTAAGCCTCAGAAGTGTGACCTACCCTGAGTAAGGGATAACAGGCAGCAGTGTGATCTGGTGTTCCCAGACCACCGCCGGTTGGGCCCGTTGTCCCATGGGCTATGAGCAAGCTGCCCTCCAAGGCCCTAAGGGGCTTTTCCGAGCTGGCCTAAGGCCGTCAGAGAAGCCCCTGACCTTCTGCCGAGGAGTTCTGTCACTGTGACTGAGTGAATGTGGCCAGTGGCTGTGGGAGCCTTGGCCAGAGCAGCATGGACCTGGCTCAGGTCCTGAATGCAGCAGGTAGACATGGGTTAGCTGCAGGCTGGGCACAGGTGGGTCAGGACTGCCTCTCTGCTCAAGGCTACTCTGCTGGAGCTCTCTCTGACTCCCAGAACTGGGGCCATTCGTGGCACAGGACGGGTGTTGATGTTTATGTCTATAGAGTTTCTTTGCTGGGAAAGAGAGGCCTCAGACAGGAGGTAGAGGGACAAAAATTGGTGACCTGGCCAGGACTTGAGCCTTGGAGCACTGTGGAGACAGAGGAGAGGAATTATGTTGGAAGGGCCTTGGAGGCAGCATGGCTGACTCGGCCGGGAAGTTAAGACCCAGAGAAGGCAGGTGGAGTTGCCAGGCTGAACTCACCAGATACTCTCTTTGGCTGCTCTGGCTCGGCTGGATACCGCAGGGCCAAGGTTGTGCTTGACTCCGTGTTTTGGATCAGAGACACGCAGCACAGGGCTCAGGGTCTGGGACTTGATTCCTAGATGTTCTGGGTAGGATAGGCAGCAGTGGCAGCCGATGCCCCGGGCACTGCCTCCACCGGTGGCAAAGTCCCCAGAGCTGGGAGGTTTGGGCTGGTTGCTCGTGAGTAAGGTGGGAAATCTCTCTTGTGTTTCCTCAGGTTAGAAATCTGTGCTACATGGTGACAAGGCGCGAGAGAACGAAACACGCCATCTGCAAACTCCAGGAGCAGATATTCCACCTGCAGATGAAACTTATTGAACAGGATCTGTGTCGAGGTAGGCGCCTTCCCTGCCCATCGCCGGCCACCCCTGTGTCCACTGTTTTGTGGGGCCGGGTCCCAAGGAGGGCGTGTCTTTGGGGCCTGGTGGGGCATGTGCCACCGGCCCCCGCCCCTGCCTTCCACCGTCTAGTTAGTAGGCCCAGATGGGGGCCTGCCAGGGTCCTGGTTGTGTGTTGGTAGGCAAGGAGTCAGAGCTTGGAGCGGAGGCATCGGGCCTGCCCTCAGGGAGCTTTCTCGTTCACTGCGCCGTTCAGGAGAAGATTGCATGTGAACAGGTAGAGACCAGAAGACCAAGTGGATCTCTTCATGTGCTGAGGCAGGGAGGGCCAGAAGCTGGCAAGGTTCCCCAGATCCTAGTGTGCCTGGGAGTCAATTCTGAAAAAGGCAGCTGCCCCAGAGAGGTGTGTGCTTTTTCTGACCCTGTCAGACAGGATTCGGGCCCTGCATGAGCACTTGTCTCTGTTCTCTTCTGATACTCTTGCCATCACCTGCCTTTGTTTGTTTGTTTGTCTGTCTGAGTCGGAGTCTCTGTTGCCCAGGCTGGAGTGCAGTGGCATACTCCTGGCCACCGCAGCCTCAACCTACTGGGCTTAGGCGATCCTTCTGCCTCAGCCTTCCAAGAAGGTGGAACTACAGGCGTGCGTCACCATGCACTGCTAATTTTTTTGATTTATTGTAGAGACAGGGTCTCACGAAGTTGCCCGGCCTGGTCTCGAACCCTTGACAGGGAATTCTCTTGCCACTGGCTTCCAAAGTGCTGGGATTACAGACATGAGCCACCATGCCTGGCCCGTCAACTGCCTTTAAGGAATCTGGAAATCAAAGGCCAAAGACGCTCTGACCTTGGTCTTAACTGCTAGTTGTGGGTATTGTCTGACACAGGGTCCTTCCTAGAATGTATGCATGTTAAGAAGGGCTATGCTTATCCCCCAACACTGTGCTTTGCTGTTGACTGAACATGCAGCAGAAATAGCTGAATGGAGAGAGATTCTGAGCCCGAGTCTGTCACTACCAGCTCAGCCTCTGGGTTGGGCTAGGCCTGGAGTGGAGAGGAAGGAGGAGCGCGGCCGGGCCGCCGTCGGAGCCAATGACTGAGGACCTCTACTGCCCCGCTCCTGCCCGTGACCTGAGCTGACTTGATTGTGCTGTGCGATCACCATCCCAAATCTAGCCTTGCCAAGTCCAGATGCTGGGTCAAGGCAGGGGACGGCCACACAGAGCTCACCCTGCACCCAGAGACAATGGCAGCTTCCTGGCTGCTGGAGCTTTCCGGACTCCTTATCCTCTGTTTAGCATTTAATCAGCCAGCACTAACTGAGCACAGGTAGGATTCCTCCCCTCGTGGAGCCCGCCATCTGGAGAGAAAAAGAAACGTGGCCTTCTCGGGGCTGCAGTCCTTCCAGTGCAGGGACAGAGGTATCAGGGATGTCTTCCCTGAAGCAGCGATGCAGAAACATCTCAGACTTCCTAGCCCTGGGTTGTGGCCCCATATCCAGACGTAGGAGGAGAAGCCCACAGTCAAAGAAGCAGTGGCAAGTCACAACCGGTGCCCTCAGGCACGGACTTCCAGAAACATGGTCAAGAGCCCGGAGGGTCCACGTCACCACATTGGGTCTGGGGACATTTGCCACTCCTTGTCCTGAGTGTCAACAGCAGGCAGCTCGTTGTTCAGGGCAGGACGTTTGGAGAGAAGACTGATTCACCCCTGCCCTAAGCTGAGGCCCACACTGCCGTGACGCTTAGTCCCTGGGTGCGACATGGGCTAAGAGCATATTGTCAAGGCTGTTTGGCTGGGAACTGGAGGGCTCCCGGTGGAGGTGATACTCGGGTTATAAGCTGTGCCGGGTGAAGGACGGGATGGGAAATAGCATATGTGGCGACCCAGAGGCCAGAGCACGTCTTGGTAGAGAAGCTGGAAGAAGGCTGGCCTGGCTGCAACTGGGCAGAAGGGAGACTCGTGAAGTGAGGCTGGGGGTAACCAGGGTCAGCTGCGCAAGGTCTTGTGGCCAGGGAAAGAGCTCAGGCTGTCCTGAGGGCGGTGGGGAGCCTCAGGAGCCCACCTCCAAAGTATCTAGGCATGGTTCTCGTGTTTCAGATGAGGAAACAGGCTTGGCTCAAGGTTGCACAGCAAACTAACAGCAGAGCTGGAAAGACTCCCCCGGCTGGGGCCATATGCCTCGACCTCCTTCCTCTGGCCGAGAAGCTGGGGAAGATTTACAGCAGCTGGGCCTCCTCGCTGCATGTCCCTCCCCTGTTCCCTAGACCTACGTGGTCATGAAGGGATTTGAGGGTGCACCCCAAATTTTCCATCGACTTCACTGCCTGACCTGAAAGCCAACTGGGAGATCAAGGCAGGAGACTTGCTCAAGGGAGCTGACCCCAGTGTCCAGAATGGAACCCCTGGACCCCCTCGTCGTGTTCTTCCCACCTCCGTGTCCAGCTTCTCTGCCTGGCATTCAACGCCCTGCCCTGTTCAGGCTCGCCGTCACCTGTCCTTCCCACCCACCAGAACTCCGCAAAAGGGATGTCGGTTGTGGTGGTCAGACTGCAGTCCCAGTCGTGCAAGGGCCTCTCGCCGGCCCTGTGCCCACCAAGGGCAGCAGTGGGCAGTTGCCCTACCCTACCACACCAGCTGTCCCCTGCTCGGACCTGGGTGTTGTGGAGGGTGAGCACGGGCCGATGGAGTCCTGGGCTTCCCCACAGGGAACTTGGCCCCAACTGAGGTCTCTTGGGGTGACTCTCTCCCTCCTTCTCACTTTCCCTGATGCAGAGCGGTCTGGGAGGAGAACAAAGGGCAAGAAGAGCGACTCGAAGAGGAAAGGCCGCGAGGGCTCCAAGGGCAGCCCCGAGAAGAAAGAGAGAGTGAAGGCGGGGCCCGACTCAGTCCTGGGGCAGCTGGGTGAGTGGGGGGCCACGCTGGCCCACAGACAGAGGAAGGCTCGTGCCATCACGGCGCCACCCACCCCACAAAGGGCCAGCGACACAGAGTGGGAAACTGAGGCCCACGAGGGGTAACCGGGCCCTTGTCCAGGTGCTCACACCTTCCACCCACAAAGGAACCGGGCCTCAGAGCCCCGGCTGGCTTCCTGGGAAATACCCCTTCTAATAGACATGGGTGGAGTTACTCTACCTGCTCAGGAACTGCCCACTCATGACCCTGGCCGGGGTCCCGGGAGCTAGGTTTTCCCAGACACCCTTGGCTAGCCCCATGATGGGAGAAGGATATGCCAGAAATCCTCGTTTCTGTCCCACTCCCCCAGAATCCTCCTCCAAATGGGTCCTCCTCTCAACACCAGCCGACCTCCCCAGGGCCACCCAGAGAGACTCAGAGGAGTGGCCGCAGGCCCCGGCCCCACCCGCCACCTGCGCTGCCCCGGGCGTTAGGTTAGGCGGAGCTGCCTCATGGGAGCAGACTGACTCCCAGGACCTCACATTTCCAAAAAAGCTCCCTCGGCCAGCAGGTCAGAGTCCCCTCCCAGACCTCACCTCTGGCACGGAAGCCCTTCATCTTTTATGTCCCTCTGTCTCAGGGAGGGAACAGCTTTGTGTTAACGGAAGGCCCAGTCTCACGTCTCCCCAGCTGCCGCCTCGCCAGACCTCAGTACAGGAGGGAGGGCCCTGGCATCCACGAGGGTCCTTCTGCGCAGATACAGCTTGCTGCGTTTCTCCATGCCTGACCCCTTTCCAAGCTTCGCTTGCAAGCTCTGGGAGGCCACGCTCATAACAATCCAGCGCCCTCTGGCGGCCTGAGGACGTCCTCCTCCATCCTGCCTTCCCCATCCCCACTGGAATGGTGGCGGTGGGCAGGCCAGCTTCATGGGTGTCCAACCTGTGCAACGGTGCAGGGCCCCGTGCTTGGTACAATGCTCTGCTGCCGTTACCTTGACGTTTCCTTTTCCCCATGGCAGGCTTTCTGGTAAAATCCGGAAAACCTGCTAGACAAATTCTACAAGAGCTGTAACATTCCACCTTGAAATTCGTAATGATATTTGAACAAGGAGCCCACATTTTCTTTCATTTTGCACTCCATTCTGCAAGTTATGAAGCCAGTCCTGGGGGTAGGACGTCCTTCTGGGGAGAAGCGTATGTGACGGTGGCCCCTACTCTGGTGGTGTTGGCTGGAGGGGTGGACAAAACACGGGAGTGTGCATGGAAGGAGGGAGGGCGGCACGCGGTAGTGTGCTGGCAGGGGCAGAGGGTTTCCTGAAAGAGGATGGGACACACACCGGCTAGCCGCTCACTTGCTTCCTCTCCCCCTCGGCAGGCCTGTCCACCTCGTTCCCCATCGATGGCACCTTCTTCAACAGCTGGCTGGCACAGTCGGTGCAGATCACGGCAGAGAACATGGCCATGAGCGAGTGGTCGCTGAACAATGGGCACCGTGAGGACCCCGCCCCAGGGCTGCTCTCGGAGGAGCTGCTGCAGGACGAGGAGACACTGCTCAGCTTCATGCGGGACCCCTCGCTGCGAACTGGCGACCCTGCCAGGAAGGGCCGCGGCCGCACCCGCCTGCCTGCCAAGAAGAAGCCGCCACCACCGCAGGATGGGCCCGGTTCACGGACGACTCCAGACAAAGCCCCCAAGAAGCCCTGGGGCCAGGATGCAGGCAATGGCAAGGGGGGTCAGGGGCCCCCCACCAGGAAGCCACCACGGCGGACGTCTTCTCACTTGCCGTCCAGCCCTACAGCTGGGGACTGTCCCATCCTAGCCACCCCTGAGAGCCCCCCACCGCTGGCCCCCGAGACCCCGGACGAGGCGGTCCCAATGACTGCCGACTTGAATGTCCAAGTGCCTGGCCCTACGGCGAGCCCCAAGCCCTTGGGCCGGCTCCGGCTGCCCCGTGAGAGCAAGGTGACCCGGAGGTCGCCGGGTGCCAGGCCTGATGCTGGGACAGGACCACCTTCTGCTGTGGCCGAGAGGCCCAAGGTCAGCCTACATTTTGACACTGAGACTGATGGCTACTTCTCTGACGGGGAGATGAGCGACTCAGATGTGGAGACCGAGGATGGCGGGCTGCGGCGGGGTTCCCGGGAGGCAGGGGCTGAGGAGGTGGTCCGCATGGGGGTACTGGCCTCCTAACTCACCCCATCCCTGTCCCGGGCCCTGCCCTGGTCCCTCCACAAGGCCTCAGCCCAGTCACAACTGCCATTTCCAGTCTCTGCTGAGTGTCCCAGACCCTCGAAGCTGCCACTCTGTTGTGGTTTTATTTTTAATAGAGAGAGAGTTTTGAATTCTACACTGTCGTCTTTCCTCTGTGCTGGCCTAGGACATTAGGATTCCTTCCACGGCTCTGGCCGCAAGTACCATGCCAGGTCCCGTGTACCATCCCTGCCCCTGCCCACGTGGCACTCCTGGGCTCCTGGCTAGATACAGGCAAGGTGGAGAAGAACCCAGGACTCCAGCCCGCTGCCACTGGGTGACACAGACTGTCTTTTGGGCATTATTTCCTGGCAGATGGGCCAGTCCAGGGCCTACCCCGCCTTGCCTCTAGATCCCACTGGGGTCCATTTGGGGGGTCCTGCTGCACTCCACTGATCCCCGAGGAAGTATAATCAGTGATGCCCAGCCAGAGTCTACTCACTGTCACAAGCACAACGAGTTTATATGAGAAAGCACTGAGGGGGCGCAGAGGGCTCGCTGGTTCCAGGGGAACCAAAAGCTGTTCCTGACCAACCCCGACATCTGAGGCTGCCCCGCCCCCTCCCCTCCCTTGCTGCTCTGCCCCTGCCAGCACCCAGCCCAGCGGCTCTGGGAAAGGGTTCCCAGAATCCTTTCTGAGCTGTGCCACTTACTCAGGGGACTCCCAAACAGCCAGCTACCACGCAGGTGGAGGGCTGCCAGGGAGGGCCAGTGCCCAGACAGGGTCATGGGGCTCAGACCAGCCCACTGCAGAGAATCCCTCTGGGGCTCCAACTTCCTTCCTTCCTTCGGGGCCAGTCTCGGCCGAAGTCTGGTTACTCCCAGACAGAGCTGACCAGACCAGACCGTTTGCCTTTTCAAGTTTCCTAGTCCTGCTAAGAGATGAGCTTCTTCCTCGGTTTCCTTCTGGAAACCCCTCCTTCCAACAAGCAGTGGGATCCCGGGGCTGGGGCGGGCCAGTGTTGGCCCGCTGGGGCTGTTTGAAGTCTTGCTGGATGTTCCTCTGTTCCTCTGAGCCTTAACCCCCTTCCCTGGCCACACGCCCCCCACCGTCCTGTCTTCCCCACCCACCCACCCTTAAGTCCCAGGTAGTTGCTCTGAAGAGTTTCAGTGGAGTGGCCCCAGGGTGATAGCTCAGGGAACAAACAAAAAAGGAATTCAGTGAAAACGTTTTTTTTTTTCTTTCGTGAATTACGCCTGGGTCACTTCCACCACTGGTAAAGCCAGAACTTCTCCAACAAGATCCTTGCAAAAGTCCAGTGAATCAGTCGACTCATTCTGTGGATGCCAAAGAATATTTTGACCATAATACAGCACAGCCTGGACCTGACAACTTGTCACTTGGACTTTTTTCTAAATGGAGTTCTTTAGCAACAAAGTATAGAAACACGCTCATTGCACACACCCAAGGAGAAGAACCCGAGCTCTTGGAAGAGGATGCTTTTCTGCTGCTGAACCGTACCTGGGTGTTGGATTTCAGATCCTGGCTGGGCCCACTGTGAGCTTTCCTGTGCTCTGAGACTCACAGAGGGGAAAGATACAGACGGTGAAACCAGCGTGGAAAAAGTCTTTACCATGTGGTCCCCCTGCCCCACATACACAAAGCAAATAAGCAGGATGGGGAACAGCTTGACCTTCATCCACTCCCAACTCCAAAACTATCGAGGTACGACAGTGGCAATTGTCATCGACACTCAATGTCATGTGAATCTTAGCAAAACAGGAAACAAAGATAATGACTAAGTTCAGAGGATCGGACAAATACGTCTAGTCCGGATGGACTCGGAGTGGGTGGGCTTCAAGGATTCTGGGCGTTGGGAGGGCATGAGCTACCACATAGCGTTTAGTCTGCCTGCCCGCCTTGGTAGTAGTGACCAGTGCCGTGTCAGCATCGGCGTCCCAACCCCAGTCTCTGTTTACTGCCTTTGAACAGACCTCCTTCCTTCCCCGTGCTTTGGGTCACCTGGGGCCACAACCTTGTCTGTAAGGGATTGCCTGGTCTGACCCTGCAGGAAGCAAAGGGGTGAGCTTAAAGAACAACCAAACTCTGCCCGGGGGAGGGTGGGGGAGGCAGGGTGCCAGGAAGGCTCAGGGTTCGTCAGTCTCGCGCTTGCCCGTTACCATCCTGGGGCAGGATCTAGGCTCTCTGGAGGAGGGGCAGGTGGAGGATTAGAAAGAGGGTGCCGCGAGTATGGCCTTGTGCCTCAGGGTGACCCAGCTCCACAGCCAGGACCCGACTGGGCAGGCACACGGAGCAGCTGGCATCCTGTAGAGAGCCTCTGCCCAAGTTGGCCTCTGGATTCTGGCCCCTCTTCTCCATTGGCTATTGCTTTGGACTGGACCTGTGTCCCTGGGCCTGTTTCCCTCAGAGCCCAGGTATCTGTTTGGCTGGCTGGCAGGGAAGCCCCTTCCCTCCTGGGCCAGGCCCTCGAGCAGTCTTCACCAGGCAACTCTCCTCCTCCAGGATGTCTGCTAGGCTGCAAGGAGGACGAGGAGGCCAGCCCCTCACTCTCACCCGACCCTCCGGCCTTTCTCCCCGTTAGCCACAGCCGCTGCACTCTTTTTCCAGCCTACTATCCACAGTGTAGAGGTCTTTGCTGCCCCAGAGACCAAGGCAAGTTCCTTTTCCAGGCCACATCTGCCGACACTCACTGCACCTCCACAGGGAGGGAGAAGCTGCTCCATAACTCATTCTGGCTATCGTCCCCGTCCTTGCCATCCTGGCCACCCACCGCCTCCCCCCTCATCACATGACAAAGGATAGTGTGCAAGAGAAGTATTTTTATGTATCATAAATGTATTTTGAGACATAAGGAGAAGAAAGGTAGAAGGGTTTATTTTATTAAATGAGCTCTGATAGGACAGTGTGTGAGCATTTGCAACGTAAGGGCCTCGGCTTCCCTGGAGAATCCACTCCAGGTTTCCAGACATGGGTGTTGGACTGTTAAGGGAGGGGGTGTGCCAAGGCACGTATCGTGTGTCCACGTGCATGCATGTCTGTGCGTGTTGTGAATGGGCACATCACGTGACTCGCTGGGGCAATTCCTAGAGATTCAACTGCCCAGTTCTAACCAATATTGGCAGCAGCTGGACCTGGTATTTCCTTGCTCACTGCCAGATGTGGCCAACCTCTGCCCATGCCCAAAGCTCTGAAGAATCATCTAGATCCCTGTAGCAAGGCCCCTGGGGAGGCCACTCTCCCATGCCCTTGGCCTGTCTGGCCACATTGGCCAAAGCGCCAGGGCTGGAGTCTGGGACCTTTGGTTGTTCTTTAAGGCACTTCCTGCCACCTTCTCCCTCAGATGCACAAACACTTTGTGCTCCACATCAGTTTGGGGGGGTGGTGGGGGGGTGATATGAATGTCACAGGAGGAGACACCTTCTGTCTTTGTTTCAAAGAAAGTGATGTGCCATTTGTTAATATACAAGAGAAATATTGAAAATATATTGAAAAGAGCAATTTTAAATTATTTTTGGCTTATGTTGCAATATTTATTTTCTTGTATTAGAAGAGATTCCTTTGTAGAGAAAAAATGTATTTTTCATTAACGCAAAGACCTATTTCTCCTTTTTGTACATCGTCCATGTTCGCAACCCTTAACGAGCAATAGAATGTATGGCCACCTCGGTGTGGCCAGTGCCCGCCATGCCCTGCATGATTCTGTGTTGCCGCTGCTGCATAGCTCCCAGCCCCATCCTGTCCTGCTCACTCATGGGGGCTTCCAGACTCCGGACCCACCGAGGCCCGTGTCTCAGCCCTTTGCACTCCTCATGTGTTGGCAAACGCAGTTAATAAAGCAATGTTTTCTGTGCCGGCTGGTGTGAGGCTCCATTGCACTGGATGGGGTATGAAACCCTGGGGGTCCCCCGCACACACCCGACAGTAGGCTCAGCAAAAGAGCAGGAGTTCTTGGGTGTCTCAAGGAACCTGCTGCTACCTCTTTAAGAATCGTCGCTGACATGGGCCTAGTGGGCACTCGGTTTATCCCAGGGGCTGTGTGTGCTTTAGGGGTGGTCTGGTTTGATTCTCATAATGTTACCTTCTGGAATTCAGAGAGGATTAAGGATGTACCCAAGTAACACCTCTGCTAAGAGGCAAGACAGGGTTACTGCATTCTTCCCACACTCTGGGACCACCTACCTGTAGAAGTGGGAAAGTTTGGGAAGAACGGCAGGGGTATGTCCTGGGTTTATTTTTCTGTTTTTTGTTGTTGTTGTTGGAGTCTCACTTTGTTGCCCAAGCTGGAGTGCAGTGACACACTCACGGACACTACAGCCTCGACCTGCTGGGCTCAGGTGATCCTTCCACCTCAGCCTCCCCAATAGCTGGAACTACAGGTGTGCGCCACCATGCCCCATTAATTTTTTAATTTATTGTAGAGACAAGGTCTGGCCAAGTTGCTCAAGCTAGTTTCAAACTCCTGGGCTCAGGCAATTCTCTCGCCTCCACCTCCCAAAGTGCTGGGATTGCAGGCATGAGCCACCACGCCTGGCTGGGTTTGCTTTTCAGTCATTATTTATTGAGCACCTTCTCCGAGCCAGCTCTGGAAAGAGTGTGGGGAAAGTAGCTGCTGTCTCTGCTTGGGACAGCTCACAGCCCAGTGGGGACACAGACAAAGGAAACTGGGAATTTTCCTGGATGCCTGGGCTGGTCTGGGGATGGGGGAAGCTCAGGAAGGGTTTTCTGAGGAAGTGACTCCACTCATTCATGTATTCAACATTTAGTCTATTGACCACACACCTCACTGTCAGCATCCTGGGTTACATACTGTGCATGTCACCAAACTCCAGTTCCTCAAGAACCTCCAGGCAGTGCCACTGAAGAACTAGTTAGCCGGGCGCGGTGGCTCAAGCCTGTAATCCTAGCAATTTGGGAGGTTGAGGCGAGAGGATTACCTGAGCCTGCGGGTTCAAGACCAGCCTGGGCAACATGATGAGACCGCGTCTCTGCAATAAATCAGAAAAATAGCCGGGTGTGGTAGCACGCACCTGTACATCCAGCTACTTGGAAGGCTGAGGCAGAAGGATTGCCAGAGCCCAGTGGATTGACACTGGGGTGGCCGTGATTGTGCCACAGCACTCCAGCCTGGGCAACCGAGTGAGACTCCCAACTAAAAAAAAAAAAAAAAAAAAAAAAAAAAAGAACAAGTAGTTGCTACCCCCAAGAAGAGCTGCAGGGAGGAAGGGGTCAAGAGCCTCCCTCATGGAGGGCTCAGCGTGTGCAAAGATTAGTCAAGCTGTAATTCGCAGGATCTTGAACCGCTTCTGAGGGCCCAAAAGAAGGCTGTATGGAAAAGAGTTTAAATTAGGATGCAGGAAATCTAGCTTCTGGGGCCATTGACTTGTTTGCTGCAGATAATTGCCTCATTTCCTCCCCAGAGCAGCAGGAGGTGATGGTAGGTCCCCAGGGGTGCCTCCAGGTCTGAGGTATGCGGGTCCATAATGCATAAAGTGTTGGAAATAAAGGTGTTGGAAATAAACCTGGAATGGGGTGTAGGTGTGCGCCCTAGATGCCTGTGGAGGGAGACCTCCCTCCTTGATGGGCCACATCCCTGCCGGGCGCCCGGGGAACACTGGCTGATGAGACTGTGGGTATTCTCTCAGTGCCAGCCCCAGCGACCCAGCAGCTCAGCTGTGAGATCTTGTGGTTTCCTCAACCGTAGACTCAGCATGAAGTACTGGTAGGAGATCAGTCCTGGGTTTGAGGGGACTTCTGGGTGGCCAGCTAGCCAGGTGTGGTGGCGCGTGCCTGAAGTACCAGCTACTTGGAAGGCTAAGGCAGAAGGATTACCTGCACTCCAGCCTGGGCAACAGAGTGAGACTCTGACTCAAAAAAAAAAAAAACCAGGACTGTCAGCTCCATGGGCTCAGCACCCTGGGCCCCACCTGCAGATAGTCCAAAGTGGTGCCCACTGTAAGACCACTTGGCCACAGCGATCTGGAAAACGGGTGCAGGGTCCCCACTCTAAGACACATGCCTGAGAACCTGACCCAGTGATCTATGTGGAGCAGGAGGGCTCTCGGCCCCTGTGGGTCTGAGGTGACATTGTTCCATAGAAATGGAGTGCAAGCCACCTTTGTAATTTCAGTAGCCAAGGTCGTTAAAAGTAAAAAACAGGTAAAAGGAATTTTATTTTATTTTTAAAATTTATTTATTTATTTATTTTTTGAGTTGGAGTCTCACTCTGTCACCCAGACTGGAGTGCAGTGGTCACTCCCGGCCACCGCAGCCTCGACCTGCTGGGCTCCGGCGATCCTTCCACCTCAGCCTTCCAAGTAGCTGGAACTACAGGCGCGCGCTACCACGCCCGGCTAATTTTGATTTATTGTAGAGATGAGGTCTCACCAAGTTGCCCAGGCGGGTCACGCACCCGCAGGTTCGGGAAATTCACTCATCTCAACCTCCCAAAGGAGTGGGATTACAGCCGGAGCCACCGAGCCCGGCACGGAATTTTAATAATATATTTTATTTAGCCCATTATATCCAAAATGTGATCACTGAAACATGTAATCAATATAAAATGACTTTTTTCCCTGTTACCAATAAGATTGATTCAAATAATAATAATAATAATTTTTTTTGAATCGGAGCTTCACTGTCACCCAGGCTGGAGGGCAGTGTGGCATGATCGTGACAATCACGGCTCATGGCAGCTTCAACCTCCTGGGCTCAGATGATTCTTCCACCTTAGCATTGCAATTAGGTGGAATTACAGGCATGCGCCACCACGTCCAACTTATTTATTTATTTATTTATTTTGAGTTGGAGTTCCACTCTGTCGCCCAGACTAGAGTGCAGTGGCCGCTCCCGGCCACCACCCCCTCGACCTGCTGGGCTCCGGCGATCCTTCCACCTCAGCCTTCCGAGTAGCCGGAATTACAGGCATGTGCTACCACGCCCAGCTGATTTTTTTATTTATTGTAGAGATGAGGTCTCACTGCCCAGGCGGGTCTCGAACCCGAGGGCTCAAGCAATCCACTCACCTCAACCTCCCAAAGGCGCGGGATTACGGCTGAGCCACCGAGCCCGGCTTATTTTTTAATTTTTTTAATTTTTTTTTTAGTTGGAGTCTCACTCTGTCACCCAGACTGGAGTGCAGTGGCCGCTCCCAGCCACCGCAGCCTCAACCTGCTGGGCTCCGGCGATCCTTCCGCCTCAGCCTTCCAAGTGGCCGGAATTACAGCCATGCGCTACCACGCCCGGCTGATTTTTTGATTTATTGTAGAGATGAGGTCTCGCTGCCCAGGCAGGTCTCGAACCCGCGGGCTCAGGCAATCCACTCACCTCAGCCTCCCAAAGGCGCGGGATTACAGGCTGAGCCACCGAGCCCGGCTTATTTTTTTATTTTTTATGGAGATGAAGTCTCACTATGTTGCCCAGGCTGGTCTTGTACTCCTGGACTCAAGCAATCCACCCACCTCACCCTCCCAAAGTATGAGGATTACAGGTGTGAGCCACCACTCCTGGCAATAATAATACATTCTATTTAGCCCATTATATCCAAAATATGATCATTAAAACATGTAGTAAATATCAAATAACTTTTTTTTTTTTTTTTAGTTGGAGTCTCACGCCGTCACCCCAGGCTAGAGTGCGGTGGCACACTCACGGTCACCCCAGCATTGGCCTGCGGGGCTCAGGCGATCCTTCCACCTCAGCCTTCCAAGTAGCCGGAACTACAGGCGCGCGCTACATTGCCCGGCTAATTTTTTGATTTATTGTAGAGATGAGGTCTTGCCAAGTTGCCCAGGCTGGTCTCGAACCCCTGGGGGCAGGCAGTCCTCTCGCCTCAGCTTCCCAAAGTGCTGGGATTACATAGACGTGAGCCACCATGTCTAAAAAATATAACTATTAATATTTTACATTCCTTTTTTTGTACTAAGTGTTTGCAATTCAGTGTATATTTTACACTCGTAACACATCTCAATTCGGATTAGCCACATTTCAAGTGCCCAAAGCCCTGTGTGGCTAGTAGCTACCACATGGGGCCGTGCAGCCCTGGAGACCCTCAACCTTGTCCTGAGTTGCCTAGGAGTCACCCAGGCTCCTGTAGAGTGAAGGACACACAGCCATGAGGACTACCCGACTGCCTTCCATAGAGAAGGCAGGAGGTTGAAGACCAGACCTGGCCTTTACCCGTAGCCCAAGTCCCTCGGGGATCTTTCTCTGTGCCAGTCTACATGGATGCTTGAAGGCAGGGGTCTCCCTTCTGACTGGCACTCCTAGACCTTCTCCTCTGCCGTTGCCTCTGCTGTCCCTGCTCCCTGAGAGCCCAAAAGATAAGCCAGCACCAGTGTGGATCTGACCTGGCGGCAGCTCCCACATTGCAGGCCAGTTCTCTGACAGCCGAAGGCACAGGATCTGAGGGAGGCCAGTGGGGTGGGGTGGGGGAGTATCCTGGGAAGGGGAATGTCACCGACTCACCCTTCATTCACGCATGCATTGATCAGCACTCACTGAGCACCTGCTGTAGGGCCCTTGAGGATACTGTGGTGACCACATGGCCCTTCCAGAAAGATCACACTAGTATGGGAGACAGACATCAATCAGAGAATCACAAATCCAAGTGCAATTACACACTGAGACTGTGCTGTTAGTAGGAGAGTATAAATCTAGGGGGTGAGGGGGGCTCTCCTCTTCCCTCCCTGAATTCCCTTAGTCGCTCCAAACTCCTGCAAGGTAGGGTCTGGGGTAGCACCTGCTACCCAGCTCCAGCCCAGAGGCCCAAGGCCCACAGACCCAGGGTGGCATTCCCAGGTGGCAGAACTCCAGCCTCCCAGCCTCTGTCCTCCCTAAGGCTCCCACACACCAG